CAAGACTGACCTACTCTGGTGATGGGATGGCCAAACACCCTAATAGTTGTGCCAGAAACCCCATCCAAGGACTGAGGAATCTGGATGCAGACATCCACGGCTAGGCCCCTGGTGGAGCTCTGGGAGTCTAATTAGCGAGAAAGAGGAGGGTTTATATGAGCGAGAATTGATGAAACCAAGATTGGATAAAGCACAGGGACAAATAGCCAAACGAATGGAAACACATGAACTATGAACCAAAGGCTGAGGGGCCCCGAAATGGATCAAGCCCTCTGAATAGGTGAGACAGTTGATTGGCTTGATCTGTTTGGGGGGCATCTAGGCAGTGGTACCAGGTCCTGGACTCATTGCATGAGTTAGCTGTTTGAAACCTGGGACTTATGCAGGGACACTTGGCTCAGTCTGGGAGGAGGGGACTGGACCTGCCTGGACTGATTCTATCTTGTCAATCTCAGTCCTTGGGGGAGGCCTTGCTCTGGAGGAGATGGGAATGTGGGGTGGGCTGGGGGGGAAGGGGAGGGGGCAGGAAGAGGAAGAACAAGGGAATCTTTGGCTGTTATGTAGAACTGAAAATATTGTAAAATAATAATAATAATAATAATAATAATAATAATAATAATAATAACAATAATAAAGAAAAAAAGAATGAAAAAAATCAAATGTCCACAGGTGTGTATTTACTTCTGGGTACTGGATCTTATCTAAAGAACAATCTCTCTGTTTTTAATGCCAAAAGCATATGAATTTTATTACTAGTACTTTGTGGTATACCTTTAAATCAGGTATAATGATATTATTTTCTAGTCTAAAATTGCTTTAGCTATCCTTTTTTTATTTTTTCTTTTCTTTTTTTTTTCACTCTAAATCTCCGTGCTTTAATAGTATCCAGAAGTGGCAGAGAGAGATGCTCAGCTTCTTAGGAATGTTGAAGGAAGTGCAGAGTGGACAGCACCTGTCTTAACTGTGATGCCAAGTGCAGCCTCTGTTCTGGACTATGTGCTGCTCCGGGAGTTACTTTTCCCAGGTCTTGCCACTTTGGGCAACCTAGTAGCACTGGGCTGGCGTGGCATCCTCTGGATGGGTCCTGCATGGCTTCCACATTCTGCCACTATGGGCACACTTCCAAGAGTGGGGCCACTTCTGTTTCTTCCTATTCAGAGGGCCTGATACAGTTGGGGGCCCCTCAGCCTTTGGCTCATAGTTTATGTGTTTCCATTTGTTTGGCTATTTGTCCCTGTGCTTTATCCAACCTTGGTTTCAACAATTCTTGCCTATATAAACCCTCCTCTTTCTCACTAATTAGACTCCTGGAGCTCCACCCGGGGCCTAGCTGTGGATGTCTGCATCCAGATCCCTCAGTCATTGGATGGAGTTTCTTGCAAGACTATTAGGGTGTTTAGCCATCCCATCACCAGAGTAGTTCAGTTCCGGCTGTCTCTCAACCATGGCCAGCAGTCTATTGTGGGGGGTATCTTTGTGGATTTCTGTGGGCCTCTCTAGCACTTTGTTTCTTCCTTTTCTCGTGTGGTCTTCATTTACCATGGTCTCCTATTCCTTGTTCTCCCTCTCTGTTCTTGATCCAGCTGGCTCTCTTTCCCTCGACACTCGCCCTTCATTACTCCCACTCATGTCCAGGTTGTTCATGTAGATCTCATCCATTTTTCCATCATTGGGCGATCCTTGTGTCTTTCTTGGGGTCATGTTTTCCAGGTATGCTCCCTGGTGATGTGAGTAGCAGTCCAGTCATCCTTGTTCCACATCTAGTATACTCCTTATTTTCTTGTCCAAGATTGCTTTAGCTATCCTGCTTTATTTTCATACAAAGTTGAGTATTGTTGAGTATTGTTATTTTCTGATCTGTAAGAATTGTGTTAGAATTTTGATGGGGATTGCATTGAATCTGTAGATTGCTTTTGATAAGCTGACAAGTTTTACTATGTTAAACCTGATGATCAATGAATATGGGAGACATTTCCATGTTTTGAAATCTTCTCCAGTTTCTTCCTTCAGAGTCTTTAGGTTCCTGTCATACAGGTTTTTCACTTATTTTCTTACAGTTACACCAAGGTATTTTATCTTACTTGTGGCTATTGTGAAGGGTTTTTTTTTAGTTATTATGAATAATTTGATGATGGCTATTGGTTGCAATATATTGCCTTTAGTATGTATAGGTATGTCTCCATATCCCTGATCTCTCAAAAATATTTATCATGAAGGAGTGCTCCTGTTTGTCAAAGGATTTTTTTTGCATCTAATAGAATGATCCTGTGGCGCTTTTCTTTCAGTTTGTCTATATGATGGATTTAATTAACATATTTTCAAATGTTGAATCATCCTTGCATCTCTGGGATGAAGCCCACCTAACCAGTTTGGATTATCTTTTTGTTTTCTTGCATTCAGTTTGTGAGTCGTTTATTGAGTATTTTACATCTATGTTCACAAGGGAAACTAGTCTGTAATTCTATTTTTGTTTTTTCTTTGTGTGGTTCAGATATCAGGGTAACTGTGGCCTCACAAAATAATCTGGCAATATTCCATCTATTTCTATCATGTAGAATAATTTGAGGGGTATACTTATTAGCACTTCTTTGAGTGTCTGGTAGAATTATGTACTAAAACAATCTAGTCCTGGCTACTATTGTTTGGGAGACTTTTAATGACTGCTTCTATTGCCTTGGGGATTATGCATCTATATAAATTGTTTTGAACTTCATATAACTTCAGTAAGTGATATATAACACAAATGTTGTTCACTTCTTTTAGATTTTCCAAGTTTGCAGTGTACACATTTTTGAAGTATGACCCAATGGTTTTCCTAATATCCTAGGTGTCACTTGTTATGTCTCTCTTTCCATTTCTGATTTTGTTAATTTGGATATTCTCTCCCTGCCTTTTAGTAAATTTTGATAAATGTTTGTCTACCTTGTTGTTTTTCCTCAAAGAACCAACTTGAAGTTTCATTGATTGTTTGCATTGTTCTCTTTGTTTCTATTATATTGATTGTAGTCCTCTATTTGATTATTTCCTGAATTCTTTATAGTATTTGAAATATATTAAGGATAAACAAAAACAGAAACATTGAATCATTCCAGAATAATTTGCTCTCTTGATTTTATCTTCCAGGGGTAGAAATTTTCCATGTAAAAAGCAAAGCCATCCATCACATACTTTATCTTTTGAGAAATATTTAAATATTTATTGTAAAATTCAATTTTTCCTGGAAACTTCATTACCCACCTCTGCTGCATGCTTATTCATTTTCCCATAAGTCTCCTTTCCAACATTCAATGCACTATTTTCTGTTATTGCCATGGTTGTTTACCTTTACATTAAATATTAACAGAATCTGTGATAAAATATGTAATAAAAGTTTAGAGCCAAAAATTCCTTTATGAGCCCATGTGTAGGGCTTGGATTACAAGCAAAGTCTTCCTTATTCCAAAATTTTGCATTCTTATGACCATCTTAGAATTGACCCAGTTGTGGCAGTGCACAGTTATAATGCCAGTCCAGGGGTCTGAGGTAAAAAGAATGTGAATTTGATGCCCATCTAAGTAATAGCATGAAATCACAATTCAAAACAAAATAAAATATTGGCAGTAGTCCCAAGTAAAAATTATTGAGAACATTTTTATGAGTATTTTAAATCTGTGTTATTCTCAGTTACCCATAGGAAAAAGTATCATTTGGCATAAACATGAACCTCCATCAAATTATTTGTGCATATTGTCTTCATTCACCTTGACTGCTTTCTAGAAGTATTTGTATAAGTATCTTTAAACTTCTGAGCACAGGTTGGGTATGGTGGTGCACACCTTTAATGCTTGCACTTAAGGGGAAAAGACTCTTTGTGTTTGAGGTCAGTCTGGTCTCCACAGCAATTTTCATCAGACCCAGATAGGACTCCCTCCATAGGATACTGTCTGAAGACAAACATCCCATTGTATTTAGTCGGTAGGTTGGCATACACCTGTGAATATAGCAATAGACAGTTAAAGACAAGATGATCAGAAGTTGATGGTCTTCATTCAATACCAAGTGAATTTGAGGACATTCTAAGTTATATGAGACTCATCTAATGTCAACTCCCCCATAAAAAAAATCACAGCTTCTGTATTTTAGGGGCCAGAGATCAGTCAAATTGCAAGCGGACTAAATATACAAATGTTGTATGTGACTCTTGCCCTCTTTACAAAGCCTGTTTCTTTCCTAAACCCGATTGAATACTTTCTCATTTCATGGTGCCATTTCATTCTTCATGTTTCTTTTTCCATCTTCCATCTGTAGTCACCTTCTCTGCTTCTGCTCTCTCACAGTTATCTAATTATTACCCTCATTTTTGTTTTCATTCTTCTTCTAGAATACAAGGGGAACCATAGAGAAGATCTGTGACTTCCTAGGAAAGAAACTGGAGCCAGATGAGCTAGATCTGGTACTCAAGTACAGCTCCTTCCAAGCCATGAAAGAAAACAAAATGTCTAATTATAGTCTTGTCTGAGAAGTTGTGATTACTAAAGGTTTGGTCCTCACGAGAAAAGGTGAAGAAACTCTTAGTCCCAAAATATGTCAGAATATGTGGAGGGTTTTTTGTTCCAATGACGCTCTAAGAAATGGGCATGAATGTGTCAACAGTCATTGCTAATCTCTCATAGTTTCTCAGAGACATTCCAGGGGAATCCTTCCATGGTGATGACATGGACTTCAGAAACTGAAAAGATTGATTTTTTTTTAGGGAGATGAACTTAGGATATTAGAGGGTTGTGTCCAATATCATCAATGGAAAATGAGAGACATGTTTTTGTGAGTCTTTGTTAGGTTCTCTGTATCGTATTCCTAAACTCTAAAGAAAATGTTTAATGGAAAGAACCAAAGATATATATTGGATGATAACCACAAAATACACTTCCATTCACTGCTGGAAAAGATGTCCAAGATCAAGATTGCTGATCCACTACAGCCTAAGAGTAGAATTTATATGGACTAAGTGAATTTTCCTCCAGTGTTAAAATATGATAGCACCGTGATTTGTCCCTGGTGTTCCTCTGGTGACACCTGTGTGAGAAACTGCATGCTCCAGAACCAGCTCTCATGTCCTTTGGCTAATGCCGGAGTGTGAAATAGTACAACGTGGGATTTTTCTTACTGGTAGTAAACAAAGGATGATCCCAATCGGGAATTGTGACATTTTTATTTATTTATTTTTTTGATGGTCATGTTCTGTTTTGAAATAACCTCTGTGTATTTCATTTATTTTCTTTTACCTGG